ATTGATTAATTGATGTACTGTGACCTTCAGGGTCTGCCAAGGTCTCATCCCTCCTAGTGGTCTCTGTCCCCCCTTTTCTTGCTGCTTAACAGCCTACCTCCCCACTTATGTAACAGTACAGGACGGATGTGTCCTGTGTACACCCTGCAGGTCCTTCAGGACAGATGTGTCCTGTGCACACCCTGCATGTCCTTGAGGACAGATGTGTCCTCTGTACACTCTGTAGATCCTTCAGGACAGATGTGTCCTGTGCACACCCTGCAGGTCCTTCAGGACGGATGTGTCCTGTGCACACCCTGCAGGTCCTTCAGGACAAATGTGTCCTGTGCACACCCTGCAGGTCCTTCAGGACAGATGTGTCCTGTGTACACACTGCAGATCCTTCAGGACGGATGTGTCCTGTGTACATACTGCAGGTCCTTCAGAGATGAGGGGAGGGGAAGGGCGAGTGACCTGTGCCTTTTCCAGCACTCAGGCCAACTTCCATAGCACCATGACCAGGGTGAATCAGGCTGTAGCCCGGATTCCCAGCCTCAGCAACCGACTCAGCTATGCTGTCCGTAAGGTCCATACCATTAAGGGTACGTATAGCAACTGTGGGGTTTCCAGCCTGTCCCCACTGGCCCAGATCCCTTCCTCTTAGCCCTAGATCTGACCCCATAACTATCCTCTGTTGCCTTGGTAACTGTCACTGCCCTGTGCCCTGTGCATCCCTGCCCTGTGCCCCGCTGTCCTTCTGTCCGTGTATAACCATCTCCCTGTCCTTTGCTTTTCCTTCTCAGGTTTGATGGCTCGAAAACTGTCGCTTGCCCAGCTGCGCCTGGAAAGGTAAAGGACAGGTGTACCGAGGTGGAGGGTGTGTGGTGTCGAGGGCGGTCTGGGACAGGCTACTGAGGTGTGGAGGGCGTGAGGATGTTGTGTGTGGTCTGGTATTGGTTGCCAGGACTCAGAAAGGACAAGAAAGGATAGAGACATGGGCCAGGTGGCTGCTGAGGGAGTTTTCTCTGACTTCCTCCTTTCCGTCCCAGCTATCCCCCACCCCCACCCCCACCCTCACTGGATGCAGACCTGAGCCTTGAGCTGGAACAGCTACGGGAAGAACGAAATCGCTTGGATGCAGAGCTGCAGCTGAGTGCCCACCTCATCCAGCAAGAAGTGGGCCGGGCACGGGAGCAAGGTATGGCAGCCCTGGTGGGTGTGCGGGGCCAGGGAAGCCTTGGGGTCTGAAGCTCAGGTGCCTAGAAACTTCCTTTTAGGGGAGGCAGAGCGCCGGCAGCTGAATGAGGTTGCCCAGCAGCTGGAGCAGGAGCTGCGGCAAGCCCAGGAGTCCCTGGCCAGCGTGGGGCAGCAGCTGGAGGCAGCCCGGCAGGGCCAGCAGGAGAGCACAGAGGAAGCCGCCAGCCTCCGGCAGGAGCTGACACAGCAGCAGCGGATCTACGGGCAAGGTGGGCAAGGTGGGCAGCGTGGCAATGCCCGCCATCCTTCAGGATGGGCAGCTCCTGACCCCGCCTCCCACCCTCACTGCAGCACTGCAAGAGAAGGTGACTGAGGTGGAAACGCGGCTGCGGGAGCAGCTCTCAGACACCAAGAGGAGACTGAACGAGGCTCGGAGGGAGCAGGCCAAGGCTGGTGAGATATGCTGGGGAGGACTTGGCCCTCGAATGGCCTAGCTGTCCTGGAACTCGCTCTGTAGACCAGCTGGCCTCCAACTCACAGACCCTCCTGCCTCAGCCTCCCGAGCGCTGGGATTAAAGACGCTGGGATTAAAGACGTGCGCCACCACCGCCCAGCATAAATCCTCACTTTGTGATCTGAGCCCGCAGCAGCAGCTAATACCAGGTGACCTCCCTGGCTCCTGGCCTGTGTCACTGCCCCTCAGCAGACACCACGGGCGACTGCTGTCACCAGAAACTTAACGCGGATGAGCATGAGCAGAGGCGTAGGGTGAATGTTCACGTCTTTCTCCATGCGCCCATGGTCATGCGTGTAGACAGGGTCGTGTGAGCTGGAGACATGATGGGTCAGCTGCACACCACCCCACAGCAGGGAAATTCTCTAATCTTGACACCAGTGTCAATTCCATGAGCCTTCGCCACACACGGTGGCTCTTACTATCTTCCCAGCACTGGGGAGTGGGAGGCAGGATAGTTTAGGGCCAGCCTGGGCTACATAGCAAGGCCTGCCTCAAAACAACAGCAGCACAGATGACAAGCCTTGCCTGAGGAGTTGCTGTCAGGGACGAGGAAGGCACTGGGGTTCACAGTGCCCAGGATCCATGGCATCTGCCCACTCGCGGTGTGGAAGAGACCCTGAGAGTCAGAGCTGAGAGCTCGGTCTGATTTTTTGGGCTCTGGGCTGACCCACTCCCATCTCCTTAGTGATTTCCTTGCGCCAGATCCAGCACAAAGCCGCTCGGGAGAGGGAGCGAAATCAGGAGCTCAGGCGCCTGCAGGATGAGGCCCGGAAGGAGGAAGGGCAGCGGCTGGCCCGGCGAGTGCAGGAGCTGGAGAGGGACAAGAACCTCATGCTGGTAGGGGACCGCGGGAGCAGGGACCTGGTAGCTGGTGTGAGGAAAGCTGTAGTGGTGGGGGCGGCCCGCGGGCCCTGGTGCGGTGCGGCTGACCCTTTCCTTCCCAGGCCACCTTGAAGCAGGAGGGTCTCCTCTCCCGTTACAAGCAGCAGCGCCTGTTAGCCGTGCTTCCCTCGGGAATGAATAAGAAGTCGGCAGGGTGCAGCTCCCAGCTTGTAGGGTCCCCAGATCCTGAGTCTCCAGCAGCTGCACCTTCCGGAGAATCTGTGAAAGGTAGAAGAATTCCGCCGAAAGGCCCCCCCCAGGCCTGAACCCCGAAGGCCCCTGGCCTCCTGTGCCCAGGACCCTCCCCTCAGGCCTCCCATCCAGTGCAGTCCCATGCCCTGGGCAGCACTGAGCCTGTTCTCACCCTGCAATGTCCTCTGTGTCAGGATCCCTGACTGTCCTGCTCGACAACCTGCAAGGCCTGAGCGAGGCCATTTCCCGAGAGGAGGCGATTTGCCAAGAAGACGTCCGGAACACCCCGTGCTGCCCTTCAGACCCTTGCTGTGGGGAGGAGCAGTGAAGCCAGCCTGGAGCTGGATCCCCCGGGCTTGGGCAGGGGCCAGCCTGACCTGTTTCCCAGCAAGCCTCGGGGCCCCAGCTCCCACCAAGTCTGAATTCTGCAATAAATAAAGATGGCTATAGTGGGGCGGATGCTCGGAGTTGTCTGGACTCTCCCTGAAGCCAGCTCCTCGCGCCCGCCCTTCCCGAGTGGCACCCCTTCCTAACTGCTCCCAGGTTTGGGGGTTTTGTTTTGACTTTTGAGACAGGGTCTCCACCCTGGAGCTCACTATGTTTATACACCAGGCTGGCCTTGAACTTACAGAGATTTTATTTGTCTCCACCTCTCGTTTTCTTCCTTTTTTTGTAAGACGTGGTCTTAGGTAGCCTAGGCTGACCTAGAACTCACTCTGTAGACCAGGCTGGCCTCTAAGTCACAGAGATCCGCCTGCCTCTGCCTTCCAAGTGTCACTGCCGCCTGGACCAAGTTTTCTTTTCCTCCACTTTTTGCTTTAGAATTATTTTCCTTGAGTGATGATGAATGCCTGGAGCAAAATACTAAACATTTAGTATTTAAGAAGCTTCTCACAGGAGAGGCCTTCCTAGCCCAGGGTCCCAGGGTCACTGTGACAACGGCGCAAGGAGGGGAGGGGATGCTAGGCCGGGCTGAATTTTACTCCAAAGCTGGTCCAGATTGTGTTGTAAAGGGATTTGGGGTGGGTTGGAGAGATGGCTCTCTTCCTGAACACACACACACACACACACACACACACACACACACACACGGCAGCCCACAACCACCCATAACTCCGTTTCTGGTGGGTCCAGTGCCTTCTGACCTGTCTGCACTGCATACATGTGGTGCACAGATATACATGTAGGCAAAACACCTATTCATGAGGCTGGAGGGATGGCCCAGTGGTTAACAACACTGACTGCTGTTCCAGAGGACCGGGGTTCAATTCCCAGCACCCACATGGCAGTTCACAATTGTAATTCCAGTTCCAGGGACTCAATACCCATGGCAAAACACTTATGCACATAAAAATTAAAAAGAAAAACTTTGGGTGTGTGTGGGGGGGATAACAGTGGGTTAAAACCTTGGGAGCCTGAGTGAGATGAGGGATCTGGGAACAGGGCTAAGTTTCCCAGGTCAACCACAGGCAGTGGGAGCAATGTGGAGACTCTGAAGGCTTCTTAAGGAATCTCTCATGGGGGAGGGGGCGTTTAGGGGTCACAGGGCCCTGGTGCTGAGGAAGGAGAAGGAAGAAGAAACCAGATTACATGGGGTGGTGGTGGGAGCATCTTCCCGAGGCTTCAGAGGTTGCTGCAATCGTCTCTGCATGGGGTCAGGAACCAGGATGTCCTGGCTTCTAGTCACCCAGGTGGCTTCCTGTGGAATTCCTTAGATGTCACTGCCTGGGAGGTCCCTGTGTAGCTGAAGAGACACTCAGAGAGCAGCCTGCTTGGTCCGGAGGGAAGTGGGGGAGGGTTTCTGCAGACTGACCCAGGCGTCCTGCCTCCACCTGTAATTACCAAGCTTCCCCACGCGAGGTTTGTCCCCATTTTGTGGCTCCCAATAACTATGAAGGATGAAAGGTGGCCTCTGTGATTACAGAGATGACGACAGGTGGGTACCAGTGGCTGCAGGGTGTGGATGAAGGAGGTGTGGAAACAAGGGTGGGGCCTCCTGGGGTCTGGGTCACTGATAGGGAGACCCAGCTGATGGGACCTGGGCTGGGGACTGAAGAGATGCTACTGGCAGGTTCCTTGTAAACGGGTCCAACCAGTTGGGCTCTGATGGGGATTCCATAAGTCACTGGGCTGGCCCCTCCCCACATGCTGGTCACCTCCTCTACTATAAAGCCTCTCGGGTTCTCAAGCACCCAGACTCTGAGCACCCCACATCGGGGGCCAGTAGACAGCCATGATGCTCAACTGGAAGCTGCTGGGGCTCCTGGTCCTTTGCCTGTGTGCTGGAGGTAAGTCGGGAGAGGCCAGGAGCACAGCTGGGGCGACTCACCCTTAGGGCAGGGACCCCCAAGAAGGGCAGGAGTGTCCTTAGCGGGGAAGCTCAGGGAAGGTAGGCAGGGGCAGTTCGGTTGTAAATATGTTGCTGGGTCAGGTGGAGGGTCGTGACCTGGGTGTGTGGAGTCTGTGTGCAGTGGGCTATCCCAACCCAGGTTGGACAGAGCCATTTGGAGGCTTGATCATGTGGGTGGTCCCAAGGAGCCCAGGGCTTTCACACAGCATGGAGGTGGCTTCAGTATTTGGGAAGTGTATGAGGAGCACTTTAGCGGGGAGTGAGAGATGGGGGGTCTGCTTTGGGGCCAGCTCAGGCTGTGCGGGAGGCTCAGCCTTTGGGTCTGAAACTGGGTGAGGAGCAGTCTGTGGCTGCATCTGCTTTCTTCCTCCTCCACAGGCACCTCAGGCAGTGAGGACCCCTCTCCCAGACCCACAGAAGCCCAAGAAGAAGAGGACTCCTCAGCATTGCCACTGGGCCCCCCAATCCCTGGTGACCCCTGGCCAGGAGCACCTCCTCTGTTTGATGAGCCTCCACCTCCAGGCCCCAACCGCCCCTGGAGAGATCTGCCTAACGCCGGTGCCTGGCCCCCAGAGCCCCCTAGCACTGATCCTCCTCAGCCTCCTCTGCCTGATGACCCCTGGCCAGCAGGAACCCAGCCCCCAGAAAACCCCTGGCCACCTGCCCCTGAAATGGACCACGGATCTCAGGAGGAACCCGACCTCGACCCGCCCCAGGAAGAGTTCAGATAGGGAGGAGACTCAGGGAGCTCGAGCCTCCTCAGAGCACACCCAACCCCACCTCTGCTCCCTGCCTCCTAATCTCTTAGCTCCCTAAGTCTCTGGTTGGATTGTGTGCAGGTGTCTCTGTTCTACCACCTCCCCTTGACCTTGACCTCCATGTCCAGCCCCTCTCCTTCACCTTGACCTCCATGTCCAGCCCCTCTCCTTCACCTTGACCTCCATGTCCAGCCCCCCCTTCAGCTTGACCTCCGTGTCCAGTCCAGCCCCTCTCCTTCACATTGACCTCCATATCCAGCACCTCTCCTTCACCTTGACCTCCATGTCCAGCCCCTTGACCTTCACCTCCATGTCCAGTCCCTCTCCTTCACTTTGACCTCCATGTCCAGCCCCTCCCCCTTCACCTTGATCTCCTGTTCAGCCCCACCCCCCTCACCTTGACCTCCTTATTCAGCTGCTCTGCTCTGTCAGAATAACTTAAAGCACATTCCTACCTCACCCAACCTGTTCCTGCTTCCTCTTCCCAGGGCGTCTAGAACTCCACCTCCTGGGAGGGCCTGAGCACCGTCTCCCTACTGCCCCCTGGTGGCCTTAGCTGGGAAATGACAGTTGACCAGGATGGTGCTTCAATGGAAAAATAAAAGCCGTGTTTTCTTCTGAACTTCTGAATCTAGGTTGCTTCTCCCTCTTTTTTTCTTTCAAGACAGGGTTTCTCTGTAGACCAGGCTGGCCTCGAACTCACAGAGATCCGCCTGCCTGTGCTTCCTGGGTGCTGAGATTAAAGGCGTGGGCTTCCACATCCAGCTTTAAGATGCATTTTCAATGAAAGTTTTGTTTTTAGTGCCTAATCAGTGCTTTTTATCTTTGATATTTGTGTTTTATGATAGCTGTAATATAAATTTGGTGCTGAATAATTATTCAATACCCACAAGTCGTACGAGGTGGCTGTGGTGATGCACACCTGTAAGCCTGGCACTTGGGAAATGAGGACAGAAGTTCAGTTCAAGTTCATCTGCAACAACATCAACTTAGGCGCCATCTGGGATGCGAGAAACAGTGGCTCAACCAAAAGGGGGGGGGGCTCAGCAGGTAGAGCGAGCGCTTGCCTAGCGCGTCCAAAGCCTCAGTCCAGTCCACAGCTGAGTGAGAACACTCAGCTCCATGGCCCTCAGAGAGATGCAGTAACAGGAAAATACAAGAAAGAAATACAATGAAAATAGGTCAGTGCCCAATTACCATCAGGGAGGCTTCCTCCGGCAGCTGACGGAGCAGATGCAGAGACCCACAGCCAAACATTGGGCGGGGAGAGAGAGAGAGCCCAGCTTGGCGATCTCCACTGGGTCCTTCCCCGTGGAGCTCAGGGAACTCCGTGGAAGATGGGGAGGAAGAGTGGTAGGAGCCGGAGGGGTTGAGGACACTTGGAGTGCATGGCCCACAGAATCAACTAGGCAGGACTTACACAGCTCAGAGACCGAAGCAACCACACAGCCTGTGTGATCAGTGCTAGGTCCTCTGTGTATGTGTTATGGTTGTTAGCTTGGTGTTTCTATGGGACCCCTAACAGTGGGAGTTTCTGACTCGTTTACCAGCTCTCTGGACCCTTTCCCTCCTACTGGGTTGCCTCATTCAGCCTTGCTATGAGGGTTTGTACCTAGTTGTGTTGTATCTTGTTATGCCGTGTTTGGTTGATATCCCTGGGACGCCTCCTCTTTTCTGAAGGGAAGCAGAGGAGGCGCGGAAGAAGGGGAAACTGCCACTGGGATGTATTGTACGAGAGAAGAATTTAAAAAGAAAAAAAAAAAAGAAAGAAGGAAAACAAATACAACAAAAAACCTTTCACTGGGGCAAAATTCTAAGGAATGAAGAAAGAAGCTAAAGAAAAAGGAAGCCGGGGGTTTCATACTGGCCAATAGACTGGCACGGCACACAGGACTGGAGGGACGGACGGCTCAGCGGTTAAGAGCACCTGCTGCTCTTGTAGACGATCAGGGTCCATTCCCATCACCCACACGGTGGCTACAACTGCCTGTAATTCTAGGTTCAGGCTGCCTGACATCCTCTGTTCTCCATGGGCACTGCATAAACTGCATGTTTACGATGCACATACACGCACGTATGGAGACAGGTTCTTTCTACAAAGCCCGGGCTGGCCTGGAACGGCTCTGTCAACCAGGCTGGCCTCAAATTCCCAGAAATCCATGTGCCTCGGCCTCTCTCGAGGGCTGGGGCTAAAGGTGTGTGTCAGTATACCCTACCTTTCCTTCCTGGTTGAATTTCTGGGTCTCTTTCTTCCATCTCCTGAGCGTTAGGGTTACGATGGTCACCACCATGCCCAGTTATACCCTAGGCATCTAGCCCAGGGCGTTGTATATGTCTGCGAGAGAATCTAGCGTCCCAGTTACACAGGCCAGCCAATCTACCGTCGATGTTACACTCCCAGCCTCCTCCTCAACCCTTTATTATTATATATTATTATTATTTAAGCAAAGGCTCCTGTAGCCCAGGGTGTCCCGGAACTCCAGGTTTTACAAGTACTGTGATTACAACCTTCCCCGCCCCTCAGATTTTCCAGGGAAGATTTTTCACTGAGAGACATACTCAGCCCATTGGGGAAATAAAAAACAATACTAACCTCTTATGAGACAGGGCCATTAAAGGAACAAAATAGTCCTGCAGGCCCTGGTGTGGGCAGTTAAGGAGCGAAGGGCTCTCGATGTCATGATCCACATTGATCCTGTGCTATGCAGGTTTCTGTCTTCCCTTCTCTACTAACTGACAGTGGTGGCGCACGCTTTTAATCCCAGCACTCCGGAGGCAGAGGCAGGTGGATCTCTGTGAGTTCGAGGCCAGCCTTGGAAAACAAAACAAAACAAAACAAAGCAAAAAAAAAAAAAAAAAAAAAAAAAAAAAAAAAAAAAAAAAAAAAAAAAAAAAAAAAAAAGGAGGAGGCTGTTGCTGGCTTCGTATCCTTTTTATGATCCATAATACTTAGCTAAGAGTTGTTCAAGAAAGCCAGTTCTTAGCCCCATTTCAAAGGTTAGGACTGTGCTGAGGCCAGGTGTGGGTGGTGCATGCCTGCAGATCTAGCTGCTTGGGAGCCTGAGGGAGCAGGGCTGAAGATTTGAGACCAGCCTGGGTAATGCAGTGAGATCCGGTCTCAAAGAAAAGGCAGGCAGGAAGAAAGCGAGAGAGGAAGGAAAAAAAGGAAAAGAGAAAGGGAGGGAGGGAAGGGGGTGGGAGGAAGGGAGGAAGGAAGAAGTGGGGGAAGAACAAGCCGACTACATTGAGCAATGAGGTAACTCACCTGCCCAAGACACGCCAGCGCGGAGGTCCAGGCAGCGCACTTTCTGGCTCCAGCTCATTCCCAGTTGGACACAGCAGGTGGACCCGTGGGATGAAGGGATGAGGAAACTGGGGGTTTCAGGTCCTATTAATAGACTGTATTTGCATTGACACACGACATGTTTTACTAGGTGGGAGGAGACTGAGTGGGACTGGGTGGTGAGGAATCCTTCACTCAGGGAAAGCCACTGTGCTGGTCTAGGTCCCTTCCTCCCTGTGTAGAGAGCCTGCAGTGGGCACAGGCACTCTGGAGTCAACTGGGAGCCTTGGAATTGGGTGGTGAAACAGAATGACAGATTTACATGACACTAACGAGGTGGACAGGACGGGCAGTAAACGCTTAGCCGAGGGTGGAAAAGAGCTGCGCTGATTTCCTGGGACGAGCTAATAACAGGAGCGGTGCACGCGACTCCAGCCGGAGAGCACCCTCCTGGGGGACAGCGAGGAGACGGGTCCTCCTGCTTTGAAGATCTCAGGCCTGGAGCCTCTAGCCACTCATTTGTCCCTGATTCCACCCGCATTTCCTGAGCTCCTGTCATGCAGGGTGCGGGTGCCAGTGACAGACCCAGGAAGCAGTTTCTGTCCTCCCTGCCCTGAAGGAGCTCCGAGCCTAGGGAGAAAATAAACGCGTCAATCGTGATGACGACAATAAGAGGTATTCCACAAGCTAAAGAGGAGCCCCAAGCATCCGCCAGTGCCATCCTCACATTCTCCTGGCTTCGCTTTGTCGTGGGCTCAGCCTCTCTTACTGATATTGTTTTTTTTTTTTTTTTTTGTCCCTGTTTTTTCTCTTTCAGTCCTGGGGATGGCTCTCAGGATCTCATACACACACACCACACTAGTTCAGCGTTCCGCCTGGTGCTACACTTTCTCACCCATTATGGTGTTCATAATTTGTTATTTAAGACGGAGTCTCATTTGGCCCCAGGCTGTCTTTGGATTCTCCCATAGCTAAAGTGTCTTCAGATCCATGATTCTCCTGCCTCCACCACCTGAGTGCTGGGCTCACAGCTGTGTGTACGTGTGCACTGCCATCCCTGGTACTAGCACTGAACCCAGAACTTGGTGTGTACTGAGAGGGTGAGCGCGCTATCCACTGAGCACACCCCCAGATTTCCTCTTATCTGTCGTTGTTGTTGTTGCTAAGGGATGCTTCTGCTCTGTTGCTCAGAGTGGTCTCAAAACCTCTGGATACTCCAGCCACCAGGCCGTGGTGGCGGTGTCAGTGGTAGTGGCGGCGGCGGCGGTGGCGGAAGTGGCAGCGGTGGCGCACACCTTTAATACCAGCGCTGGAAAGGCAGAGGCAGGCGGATCTCTGTGAATTCAAGTTTGAGACCAGCCTGGTCTACAAAGTGAGTTCCAGGACAGTGAGGGCTACACAGGAACTGTCTCGAAGAACCAAAACAAAATAAAATAAAAAGGACAGTCCAGCCTCGTTCGGTCTAGAGCTTGCAACTATGCAAACCATGGCACCAAATTATTCATTTATGTGTTTATTTATTTTGAGACACATTTCACTGTGTAGCCTTGGCTAACCTGGAACTTACTATGTAGCCCAGGCTGGCCTTAAACCCTGAGACCCACCTGCCTCTGCCTCCTGAGTGCTGGGATTAAAGTTGTGCACCACAACACCTAGCTTGAGGTTTTGTTTTTGTTTTGCCAGGCTCTCGATTTGTGGCCCAGGCTGGCCTTGAACCTGTGGCCAATCCTGCTTCAGCCACCACATCTAGCTTTATTTTGTGTTTTGAGACTCAGTCTCATGGCCCAGGCTGGACTTGAAGTTACTGTGTGATGATGACCTTGAATGTCTGACCTTCCTGATCCTGGGTTTACAGGTCTCGACCACTACCCAGACCTGGTTTCTCTGGCCCTTTCTCCCACGTGGTGTTCCTCGGTCTGCCGCCAGAGGGCAGCCCAGAGTTTCTTAACCGGTGTTCTTCTAAGGCGCCTTCCTTTGTTCAGGGCCATGGTCACCACAGGGAGAGTCCTCTTGGCCACCAAGGGGATCCCTCTGAGGAGAGCCAGGCTGCTGAGGTGAGGCGAGAGAAACTGGAGACGGCAGGAAGATACCAATACAGACTGCTTGGCTTTACGGTCATTCTTTTTACTTCCTCATCCATTGTGTGTGTGTGTGTGTGTGTGTGTTCATGTGCACGTGTGTACGTGTGGAGGCTGGAGCTTGGTGCTGGAAATCATTTTCTACTGATCTGCCTTATTCTC